ATTATTGAAAACCTATGTCTATGCGATATGAGTAAAATGTTTTGAATTCAAACGAAATAAGCTAAATTTTAAAAAAGTTTTTCTGTAGATCTTAAATACTTTTACTGTGAATTATGTTATGTAACACTGTTCATGACACCTCCTCTGTAACACAGGCTTAGACACTCTCCCCACAGTGTTGCGTTTTTGAATAATCCCTATCTGACGACCATACATTTTTCAATAGCTCTTCAATTGTAAAATGCATTGTTGTTAGGCTGCCATGTCTAAAGCATGCTTTCCATCTAGTTTAGGAGTACAACGGTTTCCATCTTGATAATGTTGTGTACCATTGCCTGGATTCTGTGGCGGCTTTTGCCACTGACCTTTGTGTTTGTGGATGCTCACTTGTTACAAGAAGCTTTGCTTACCAAGGCTGAATTACGATTTGATGCAGATCTCTTTCTGGATAGTTCCGGATACACAGGTTGATCCTTGGTCCGTATTCTTTTGTTTTACAATTCAATTAAGTACAATGGATAGCCTCGTCTTGACAATTCTAAATCAACAACTTATATACACCTTAATAACCCGAGTGTGTGACTATTTTGTGTTGGAATAGGCTGCTACATAACCTTCCCAAAAGTGGATCAATTTTCGATGGCACTGCACTACCTACGAAACGCCAAACAACGTCAAAATGTAGTTATTATATCGACTATGATTAGCACGTGAACTACTAATATGCATATTCAAAATTGTTTTGAAATAATTACTCAAGCCTGTATATCTAATGAGATTATTTTGAGTGCCAAGCTGAAAACTTTTTAGAATCTACAACTATTAAATAAAGCTATTGTATCAATTGATGGTTATGTCTCATCGTACATAGATTACATCAGAAAAATATTAAGTTGCTTACGATTGTTTGTGACTTCTGACGTCATATGTGCCAACACATTTTTTTAAACAGAAAACTTTTAACTAGTGTAATTGTATTTGTGATAATGCTAGAACCATTGTATATGTACTTTTAACTAGTGTAATTGTATTTATGATAATGCTAGAACCATTGTATATGTACTTTTAACTAATGTAATTGTATTTATGATAATGTTAGAACCATTGTTTATGTACTTCAGTTTAATTTACAATCTTCGTATTTATGTAGATTTTTTTTATCTATTGCCATCCCCACGTATCATCTTTATAGCTACATTATTAATATTTTTATAGTTCTATCGAAATATTAGGGAATATAACTGAGATATTTCAAATATTGCCTTTTTTGATAACACAAAACGCTTAAATAGAACATAAAATTATTGCTACAAATGATGGATGGAATGGGATAAAATGTTTGTTTTTAAAGGTTTGCAACCTTTATAACGTATACGTTGATGAATAAATATCACACGATGTCTTGGAAATAAAGATTTGTTTTGCAACCGTCTTTCAGTTTTGTTTAGTCTAGACTAAACCCGCGGAAAAGTATTTCCAGGATGAATATGTCTAGTTAACTTTGTGGTTCAGTGCTCGAAGCATAAATTCAGTAGCAGGAAGAACCGTCTTCTAGATTGCCTATAGAAAATCAAAAGTAGACATATATAACACACAAACTGCTGTAAGCTGCATATTATTATAATATTTCACTAACTTTAAGGTAGGCATGCAGAAACCTAAGGAACGTGATATATACAAGAGTGGCATTTTGTAATTTCGAAAGTTATTATAACTGATATAAATTTGTACCTTATTTAATTAGACAGAAGTACAACACTGATGTTTTGTTTCACTCTGTCTCGAGATATGAAGATAACTGTGAACTCTTTGATCACCAAATAGGCTCGTAAGTCTCAAACTTGAATTGGTTCTGTAAACAATAGAATTCTGTCAGTTGATCCAGATTTATTGACTTGTCGGTGCCGTTGGAAACAAAGAGTCTGAAAAAGCTATCTTTAACTCTTTAGAGGTAGCCACTTGTTATTATTGTTCTAGAATTCGAGCATTCTTATTGGACTGAAGAGTACTTCACTTGTACTTCTAAATTGTATGTCTCCACGCAGACTTTTAATTACAGTCATAAAGTCTAGCGGCAAGTCCTTCCTCTTAATGATAAACATTCTAGCCGTAATATTTGTCTCTCGGAGACACAGACAAATCATGATAATAAAATCTACCTAACAGCACATCTCAAGGACCACTTTTAAACTCACCAGCAGATGTTTGACAGGTTCGTATAAGCTACTCTTCATTTTACAGATTTTGTTTTCGTATTTGAGCTATTCATATTATTTTTTATATAATTAATGATTACTTTACATCTCACTGAGTAAAGATTATTGTAAAATTACCAAAATTCCCGTTTATAAAATTGACTGAATGTGTTTCAGAATAGAAAAATGAATATGTATCTCAGTATATCTGTCCAGTAAACGGTCCTGAAAAATGGCTTATGGTGTACGTTTCTCATAGTTTTTACAACTGAAAAATGTACTACCACCTCTGAAAGTGCCTTAATGACTAATGTATTTCTTAAAGTTTCAAATTGTTCTCTGAAACAAACAGTGAATATCCCTAAACTTGATTATTGTAGCTAAAAATAAGTGACATATATAATGAAATCTACCGCTGACAAAACTAAACTTCTTCCTGCATATCTGAGATATGGAGTTTGTAGATTTTACTGTGTTACTTCAGGTACCCTCTTTATAAAACTAAAGCTCTTCTTGCATATATATCTGAGATATGGAGTTTGTAGATTTTACTGTGTTACTTCAGGTACCCTCTTTATAAAACTAAAGTTCTTACTGAATATCTAAGATGTGGAGTTTGTAGATTTTACTGTGCTACTTCAGGTACTTTCTTCATAAAGCTAAAGTTCTTCCTGAATATCGAAGATCTGGAGTTTGTAAACTTTACTGTGCTACTTCAGGTACTTTCTTCATAAAACTAAAGTTCTTCCTGAATATGTAAGATCTGGAGTTTGTAAACTTTACTGTGCTATTTCAGGTACCCTCTTTATAAAACTAAACTACATACTGAATACCTGAGATGTGGAGTTTATAGATCTTACTGTGCTACTTTAAATACTTTCTTTATAAAACTAAACTACATACTGAATACCTGAGATGTGGAGTTTATAGATTTTACTGTGCTACTTTAAATACTTTCTTTATAAAACTAAACTACATACTGAATACCTGAGATGGGTAGTTTGTAGATTTTACTGTGCTACTTGAGATGTGGAGTTTGTACTATCTCAGGTACCTTCTTAATAAAACTAAAGTTCTTCCTGAATATCTAGAACGTGGAGTTTGTAGATTTTACTGAGTATCTAAAATACACCATAGCGTATAACTTGATGAAATGGATTGTGCTACATTTTCTATTTGTTGCAGTTTTGTTTTTACATAATATCGGTGTGTTTCATATGTTGCATATATTTTAATTTTTTTGTATGTTAATATTTCGTTTATTACAAATTAAACTGGCGATTTTAGTGTAACTTCTCATGCAGGAGAATTACTGAAATGTTTTATCTATTTGGTCCTTCGAGATCAAGAACATATATCTATGATTGTAACTCTGTAATGAGTTGAAACGTTGTGTACTTATTATTTTTAACTTTAGCAAAACAGTATTTTCTGAAACTCTTTTCTTTAAAACCTTTTTCTATTAAGTATCATGACTGGATAAGATATCACCACTTTAAGTTATTACTGCTGGTCATGTCAAAATATTACCACTATATACTGTACAATAGTGTAATCGATATTTTTTTACCTTTATTTATATTTGTGGTAATTTGAGTTTTAAAAATTGCTTTACCCCGCAGGAGTAATTAGAGAAATGAGCCTTCTAGGTTATAAATGAAGAATCGAATCGACTTCATGTCTATTTTTAGTATCTTTAGTAGAATAATCAGAATAATGAATTGGAAGCACCAATGCTGCTTATTCTTCAAGTCCTATCTGAACGCAAGTTTACTGTGATGAGTTAAAGACAACTAAAAACGCGGTACACATAATATACATCTCAGCTGTTAGAGCTCTCGTTCGGCCTATGGCTGGTACTTAACTTGCTTCTGGGACAAAAATAATTCAGATTATCACACAGTAAACGAAGATCTATTTACGTCATGATAAACAGTAAACTGATAAGCACAAAAGGCCTCCGAATTAACAACGAATCAGCAAAACAAATTCAATATGAAAAATAACAGCAACAAACAATAATAGGGATTTGGAGGAGTATGTTTTCATTTCACATTGGATTTATGTTACATGAAATTTATGGATTCAGCGTGAACTGATATTAAATAAAAACGCGTTGTTTGGCTAGCTCTGAGAATAAACCACGTGAATGGCATATCGGGAAAAATATCAGCGCTCTGTATTTCATCTTCCATCGCAACTTCGTTAATCGTAAATTTTTTCGTTACCATGGTAACGTCATGTACGCCCAGGAGTCATCGGTTTGCTATAAACTTCCATTTCAACCATCTTCTTTCGGTAAATTGAAATAAAGCGAAAACAATTTTTATGGTAGTTGGGATGTGTTTCTCTCATTTCTGTTACCAATTTCAGTCAACTCGCTTAGAAGTAAACGTTGATTTATTCCCGACGACTCTTTGAATGAACTTGTGTAATTATTTCCAAGTGGATAATTTTTTTATCTGGTTGCTGCAGACACTTTCTTAAACTGTGGCTTTCTTGTGTCGAATTGTTTATTGAATTTATACTTCTAAAAATAAATATATATATATATCCTTCCGCAATAAATGAAGATACAATAACAAAAGTAAAACTGGTATCAAGCTACAGGTATGTAAAAAGAAAAATAATTTTTAATGAAAAAAAGGACCCCACGTAAAACACTGAAAATATTGTGTAATTGTAACTTATTAATTTTTTCCTTAGGGAGTTTGGGTGAGTATAGTATTATTCAGTTTTGTATATCTGATGAAGAAAATATATGGTTTGTATTATTAAAAATGTGCGGATTACTATTCTTCTTAGATCATAACTAGTTGCATAAAAACTCACCAGGGGGCTGCTCAAAACCCTAGTTACAAAGTTTAGAAAAGACTTGGACCGTGTTGGATTGGATTGTTGGAACTAGAATATGAAATCCAGTCTAAAAATTACAACTCGGTGCTATTACAATACAAACTTCATCCAATAGGTAAGTAAGTTTACAATAATAAAAATTAGCTTTACAATGTAGTTTCATCTTGAGTTTTTCGTTTATTACTGTTATTATGTTAATTGTTACATTTACATATTATCTAATTTCTGTAAGTAAGTTTACAATAATAAAATAATAAAATTAGCTTTACAAAGTAGTTTCATCTTGAGTTTTTCGTTTATTACTGTTATTATGTTAATTGTTACATTTACATATTATTTAATTTCTGTAAGTAAGTTTACAATAATAAAATAATAAAATAAGCTTTACAAAGTAGTTTCATCTTGAGTTTTTCGTTTATTACTGTTATTATGTTAATCGTTACATTTACATATTATTTAATTTCTGTAATGCATATTGATTTAGTAAAATCGTTTTCATATTAGAAATAAACTACCTTATAACACAAAATATGTTACTTTTCCTTTTTGACTGGACGCTCAATGTTTCGCTTTACAGCTTCATCAAGAGCGTTTCACTAAAACACAAACTGTTACGTGTTTTAGTGGAACGCTCCTGAAGAAGGTGTAAGGCGAAATGTTGCGTGGAGGAAAAATAAGAAATTTGGTGTTATAGAGTAGTTTATTACTAATATTAGTTTGTTTATATAGTTTATACAAAAACAAGCTTCTTGACGTAAACTCAGACCCTACAAATTTTGATTCATATGGTGATTTTTATGTTAAAGCTTTAATAGATTCACCATGATTTTTTTCTCCTAGAAATAGATTTGTGTTTGTAATGTGCAATGCAAAACAGTTACCCATATTCAAACTAGAATGCAGCTGATATGAGCGTAAGTATTTGTATTTTGTATTTATGGCAAAGCTACTAAGGCTATCGACAACCTTTCCTAATTTTGAACTACTGACCAAAGAGAAGATAACCTGTGAGTAACATCCTACGACCCACCATCTACGTTATGGGATTGAGTGTCATTGTTATAATGCGCCCACAACTTAAAGTGCTGGGAATATTTCATGGTATTATACAGTTTCGAACCCGGCTTGTCAACTTCGAAATCCAGAATTATACCACATGAGCATAAGACATGAGAATAGGACCCCTCAAAACGAAATATTTTTTAAGACTCTTATTTTATTAACTAATACGTCAGATCAGATATCTTACGTTTATATTATAATATTGAGTAGTAAAAACATTAGTACGTTTCGTTTGTTTACATTGCAATGAGCCCCCCAGTGGCACAGCGGTATGTCTGCGGACTTACAACGCTAGAATCCGGGTTTCGATACCCGTGGTGGGCAGAGCACAGATAGCCCATTGTTTAGCTTTGTGCTTAATAAAAAAAACAAAACATTGCAATGAAAATAGTATACTGAAGTCTTACTTATTATTACGACCAAATATTACCATCCGTTATTTTTTGATGAAAGTATTAAGCGTATTTTACTAATTCAATTCAATTTAATATTTATTTTGATCCCATGCTTTAGTTCGCGTAGAGTAGCGTGTGCGTGTTTTATAACTTGTAGTTTACGTTTCAGCTGCATATTTTCAAACACAGCCTTGTAGTCTTCTCTGATCCGTTTTTTCGAGTTTTCATTTCTGTCGCCTTCTCTTGCCTGATTTCAAGTTAAGGAATGATGCTATTAATATATTTTGTTCATGTATTTCGTTTGTCCTCAATAATTCAGTCACATAATTCAATAAACTGTTACTGCCAGTCATATTTTTTGCTTTCCTCGTCTGTTGTTGAATATATATATAAAAAATTATGCTAATTAATTAAAGTTCGTATAAAACTGTATAGTTTCCACGCTGTTTACAATTTATTCTATTCTACTTTAAATGTTTTAGATGTTTTTAAATTTCTAGCGAAATCAAAACATTAGTGTACAAGCACTTAATTTTTCCTGTTAAAGAATGTACAAGCCCTCCAATATAACAGTGGTATGTTTGCGGATTTACAAAGCTGGAAACCAGTGGCACGGCGGTAGGGCTGAGGACTTATAACGCTAGAATCCGGATTTCGATACCCGTGGTGGGCAGTACACAGATAGCCCATTGTGTAGCTTTGTGCTTAATTACAAACAAACAAACAAAACCGGGTTTCGATACCCGTGGTGGGCAGAGCACAGATAGCCCATTGTGTAGCTTTGTGCTTAATTACAAACAAACAAACAAAACCGGGTTTCGATACCCGTGGTGGGCAGAGCACAGATAGCTCATTGCGTAGCTTTATGGTTAACTTCAACACAAATAAATAATGTACAAACTATCTTATGACTCGAAAGATCATAGCTGTTTAAAATATTTATATAGATTATAGCATATGTTAACGGCATACCAAAGTAAAAGTTGTGGCATAAAATTACTTCTCATATTTTTTTTATTTAAAAAGTTATCATAATATTTTCAGATGTCATATTTATCATTAATATAGAGAACATCTTGTATCTATTATCGAAAATTCGTTTAAAGTGTTTCTTGATAATAGTGTTCATTAAGTGATAGTAAACTCGTAAATGTAACCTGTTTTTAACACTGTAAGTAATGACGGATACAGATTTGTGATTTCTAGTTAGTCGGTTAATTAGATATTACCGATATGAACAACAGTATATATGCATTTGACCTTTGTCAAAGCACTGGTAAATTTCTTTCCCGTATAAAGGTGTTATGTGTAAAACCTCGTTCAAAGATCATGTAAATGTACACAGTGCCACGTTTTCTCAAAATTTTTCGTACTTTGTACACAGTGCCACATTTTTCACAAACTGTTTCGTACTTTGTACACAGTGCCACATTTTTTACAAACTGTTTCGTACTTTGTACACAGTGCCACATTTTTTACAAACTTTTTCGTAATTTGTACACACTGCCACATTTTCTATAAACTGTTTCGTAATTTGTACACAGTGCCACATTTTTTACAAACTGTTTCGTACTTTGTATACAGTGCCACATTTTTTACAAACTGTTTCGTACTTTGTATACAGTGCCACATTTTTTACAAGCTGTTTCGTAATTTGTACACAGTGCCACTTTTTTACAAACTCTTTCGTACTTTGTATACAGTGCCACATTTTTTACAAACTGTTTCGTACTTTGTATACAGTGCCACATTTTTTACAAGCTGTTTCGTATTTGATTGTTGTAGTAGACCTGAATGTATAACGGAAACATATAAAAGCACGCTATGATTTCAATGCTTGGCGATTAAATTTTGTAAACCAGAAACACCTAATACAGTCTCCTATAAACAGAAATCAATAAGACAATAATAGCACTAGGTATTCCTTATCAACACTTTTCTGAAAATTCATACAGAAATTTTGAACTTTACATTTTGCAAGTGAAATTGTTTAAAATTGCATCAAAATCATTTCTGTTTTAGTTTTGTTTTTATTCCCCAAAACACACCCGAGATATTCTGTTTACGTGTATATTCTTAGTTTGGTTTGGTTGGTTTGGAATTCCGCGCAAAGCTACACGAAAGCTATTTGCACTAGCCGTCCCTAATTTAGCAGTGGTAGACAATAGGAAAGTCAGCTAGTCAACACCACCCACCACCAACTCTTTGGCCTCTCTTTTATTAACCAAAAGTTGGATTGCCTGCCACTTTATAACGCACCCACGGTTGAAAGGGTGACGGCGATATGAACACGCGACCCTTTCAACCACCAGGCCGTATACTCTTAAAACATTTTAGACAAGCAGTTTCGAGAAGTTTTTACATAGTAATGTAATTGTGTGCTCGATAAATATCGTAGATTGAGAAGCATCAGCCAGTAGGTAATCTGTAATTGTAGATGACTTGGGAGCAAAGCAGCGTCGTTATCGTTATGCTTTAATTGACTACTGGTGTCGTCATGTGCCATCGCTATTGGCATAAAGAACACAGCGAAGTCTACCATGCTTACGAGGTACGGCCATCAACATTCAATTAGATATGTGTATGTATATATATATAAGTTAAAGATGACCGGTCGTAGCCCAACAGCTAGCGTTCCGGGCTATGAATCTGAGTCTTCCGAAGTTCGCATCCCGTTACTGAAAAAAAAAAAAATATATA